TTCCTCCGGGGATTCGTCCAGGAACGGGGAGACGCCGCTGAGCGTCACGTAGGCCAGCACGCCGACGCTCCACACATCCGTTGCCACGGAGACTGGCGTCCCGCGGATGAGCTCGGGGGCGGCGAACTCCGGGTTCCCGAGCAGGAGGTGGACGTAACGGCGGTGAGCGGACAGCTGGACGGCGTCACCGAGGTCGATGAGCTTGATGCTCGGGGTCGGAGTGCGGAGGTCGACCATGATGTTCTCCGGCTGCGGCGGCGAGGAACAAAGTCACAAACACACGAGAGAGAGAAAGGAATTTACGTCAAGAATGTTTGTAATCAAATCCTTCCTTTTTAAAAAGACAGCAACAAACACAGCAGGTGCCCCCTCCCCCCCAGCCTGACTCCGCCCCTGCAGGTTTCTCTTACCTTCAGATCCAGGTGTGCCACTCTGCAGGTGTGAAGGTGCTGCAGCGCCTCCAGTGTCTCTTTGATGAAGAACGCCACCTTCTCCTCCATCAGCTCATCGTGGGCGACGAGGTAATCGAGCAAACGCCCGTCTTCCAGCCTGACAAGCAGAAGATTCAGAAGAGTTTAGATCCTCCTCAGGAGTCTCACAACAAATCTGTTCCTTTAGTTTCAGTCTAACTTACAGCTCCAGGATCAGCATCAGAGAGGTGGGGGACTCGTATGTGTCCAACAGCGCCACCAGCTGGTGATTCTGAACGTGTAGGAGGACGTCTGCCTCATGAGCCACCTGCTCCTTCTTCTGCATCTTCTTACTCACAAACTTCACGGCAACCTGAGCGGGAAAAAAGTGACACGTTCCAGTCGAACATAGAGACGAGCCAAATTCTTACATTTCTAAAATGGATTTCAGCAAACAGGAAGTGTGTGAGCATTTAACCCTCATGCCTCACTCAAATGTTTCCTCTTCATCTGCTCATCATTTTGTCTGTTAGTGGATACGGCACACATTTTTGTAAGAAAATCTCTCTCTTGACACATTTTGGAATGCGCATTTTATTTTTTTAATAGATCAATAGAACACTGAAACATGTTTACAACCCTCTGAAGTCTCTAAGGACAAAAATGTCCACTTACAAAAAACTGATATAAAAATAGAACAGATTTTTTTCTACTTTTTTCTGCATAAATCTCTTAAACAACTTCAGCCCTGCTCAAGATGATCAAATATTGAATAATTATCAGGAATTTAAATTCCTATTGAATGTTTGGTAGTTTTGAGCAGGGCTGAAGTTGTTTAAGAGATTTAAGCAGAAAAAAGTAGAAAAAAGATCACTCTGTTCTATTTTTATATCAGTATTTTGGAAGTGGACATTTTTGTCCTTAGTGACTTCAGAGGGGAGTAAATTAAACTGAGCTCCGTCTTCACCAAAAAAACCTGAAAAGTAAAAATGGATGTGTTACCTCTTTCTTTGTTGACTTTTGTTGACATTTTCTCACCACAGAGAAGCGCCCCCTGTTGAGGAGACAGAGGAACAACAGTCAATATCTGGAATTCAAATTTAAAGACACGTAATTTAATGATTGAGAGTTTACCTCCCGATCTCACAGATCTCAGTGAACGCAGACTCAAAGTTTTCTTTCCACTGGATCCCCGTTCCATCGTAACCCGAGTCTGGACAGGAAAGAGTCATCAGTACAACACTTTATCTGTGTGTGTGTGTGTGTGTGTGTGTGTGTGTGTGTGTGTGTGTGTGTGTGTGTGTGTGTGTGTGTGTGTCTGTGTGTGTGTGTGTGTGTGTGTGCAGACGTACTGGTGCTGGACAGCGTGACCATGTTGGAGGCCTCGGATGGCGGCCGACCCCCAGCGGTTGGACGCTCTGACTCTGAACTGGTAGTGACCTCCGGGGATCAGAGTGTCGATCTGCACACACTCCTCTCTGCTGCTCGCCACCTGCTGCCAGATCAACGAGTCTGAGGAGGCGAGGAGGGAAAGTTTAACCATCTGCACACACACACACACAACACACACACACACACACACACACACACACACACACACACACACACACACAACACACACACACACACACACACACACACACACACACACACACACACACACACACACACACACACACACACACACACACCTTCCTGTCTGTACTCCACAGTGTAGCTGCTGACTGTACAGTGAGCAGAGGAAGCCGGTGGCGTCCAGTGGATCATCACCGCCGTGCTGCTCGCCTCCTGAGCCACCGGCCTCCCAGGGGCTGCTGGGATACCTACAGAAGGAAAACAAACACATGAGTACTCCTCCTCATTGGTCTTTCACTTTTACTAAACGTTTTGTTCCACATGTTAAGATGCTTGTTTTTAATCCTGGTACCTTGCACTTTGATGGAGGCGGAGGAGGAGGCGGAGCCGTGGTCGTTCACGGCGACACAAGTGTAGATGCCTGTATCCTGAGGCATGAGGTTACAGATCTTCAACAGGATGTCGCCCGTGTCCCTGAGGAGAGGAAGAGGAGGACGCAGTGAGTCACATAGCAAGAGGAATGGGATTAAAGGGGTTAGGAACACGTGCGGTCTGCGTTACCTGATGTCGATGGTGAAGCGGCTGTTGCTGGTCACCGGGTTCTGGTCGGGACCCTTCAGGGTGACAGAGGGTTTGGGTCGTCCACAGACTTTACAGCAGAGAACCACCGTCTCTCCGAACGCACAGACCACATCCGACAGAGGGACGAGGAACTCTGGCGCCACTGAAAACAGGAAACACCACGATCTGAACTCGTTCCTCTGCTCGCACTTTGGTTTTTAAAGATTGAACATTTATTTTATTTTATTTCAAGATGATAATCTCCATTGAGCTACAAATCTATGAGCCTCTTCATGAACAGTTACGCCCCGCCCACCTGTCAATCAGGTCAGCTACACGCCTTATTGTGAATAACTCTTATCCTTCATCAAATCAAAACTGATGAGTCATCAAAACATTCACCCCCCGTACAGTGTGTGTCCATCCAGACATGAGCTAATCACACCTATTTGGTTTTTTGAACCAGGCTGTAAACATGTTCATCTCTGCTGTAAAAACAGGCTTTTTAGAATGGGTGTGTATGTGACTTCCTGTGCTTCTGCAGCCAGCCTCTAGTGGACACTCCAGGAACTGCAGGATTTTTTACACTTCAGCATCGGCTTCATTTTACATCACTGGAGGTTGTTGCTTGATTCAAACACACCTGAATCTAATTACCTGGAGCCTTTGCTTTTTGCACAGCATAAGCCAAGACTCCACCTAGTGTTCAGTGTCGGTAATACACTCAAATACAAATTCAGTGTTTTTTATTTGTGCAAAGATCAAGACATTTTGGCTCCAACAGCGGCATTTAAAGGGGCGTATTCTTTTGCATTTGATGATTTGTCACGTCCATTTTATTAATTATTTATTTTGCACATTAGTTTCCAATGCATCAATGTTTGTTCCCCGGCGTCTTTAAGTTGGACGATCATGTCGACATTTATTATTTTGTTTTTGGTGTAGATCTAAATAAATTCACACGCAGATTTATTTTACACCTTCCTGATATAAAACACATTTGAACCTCTGTGTTAAACATGTTTTAATGTTTTCAGCTGCGTGTTTGTCTCATCCTCACAGACTCAGATGAAATACTCCGTCTTACCTTCCTGGATGAAGTTTGGGTTGAGAAGCTGAAAAACAGACGAGGTCAATTAAGAAACCTTCATGATGAAATATTTTAAAACACAGACAGGATGATTGTTGTCTAAAAATTAAATTACTATTCTATTTCTGATGGGGTTTTTTTACACATTTGAAAATAAAAAAAACCTGGTTTTGTGATGCTGATACTAAAGCCTTTTCTACCAAGCGCTCCGGTTCAGTTTGGGACCAAAATATTGGACCTGTACCGTCCTACTTTTTTGGCACCCTTCTGTTGGAGTGCCAAGGCTGGAGTCGGACACACTGCAGACGGCTGATTGGTCAAAAGAATCCCTTTCCATGTGACAGCGGTGATGAAGGACAAACACAAACCGTTGTGTGTTTAAACATCCAGTGAATTTGGAGTCATCTTAAGGCTGTTATTGTAGCTCCGCCCCCTGGACGACCTCAGCGATGCAGACCCTCCTATAGGAATCGTTCATCTTTGCTTTCTGTAATGTTCTTCTTTGAATTTATTGGGGGTCTACACTATGTGGCTATGATGTCGTGATGGGACTGTTGGCTGTATAAAACGCAAGCAACATCAGGGTTTACTGAACCGGACCGGACTGAACCAAACTGGACCGCTTGGTGAAAACGGGGCTATGAAGTGTGCGTACCTCCATGCCCGATTTTGGGTCAAGGTCGTCGTCACAGTCCGACTCGTCTGACGTGTGATCCTCCTGAGGGCGAACACGAGTGAAGACGAGAAGAGTGGGAGAGAAGAGATTTTATAAAGGGAGGAGGGGGGGGGGGAGGGGGAGTGAGGGAGACAAGGACATGAAGGGAGGAGGAGAAGAGAACACCAGGGACAGAAATCAGGAGGAAGTAAGAGGGCGGGTTTTGGGAGGACGAATGAGGAGGGAAATATTATAAGAGAAAAAAAGGGGAGAAGAGGAAAACTTCAGGGTCCGTATTCACAAAAACTCAGAGCTCCAAACTTATCTTAAAAAAATCCTCTCAAGGAGTCGAAGCTTCAGAGATCTTAAAGAGGCGTCATGGTCGACCCCGTTGTTAGGTATGATAGATTGTAAATCTGTCTGTCTGTTTGAATGTTTGAAGCCTGAGTGACGTCCCCACGACTGTTCCTGCAGGGGGCGCTGGAGTCCCATGTGCTGGAAATGCCGCCTCAGTCTAACTTTCAGTCATCCTAACGATCTTCAGTCACACTGCTGATCTCACTATTGTTCACATACTGCATGTTGGACCAATCAGAACGAACCACGAGTGTAGAGGGAGGTTTAGAAAACAGCCTGACACTAATCAGTCTGCAGAAATCATTTGTGTCTGCGACTAAGACTCTAAGATTCCCTTTCAGTGTTTAGAGAACATTTCTACATTTCTCTCCTCAGCTTGAGAAAGTCTTCATCCTTATCAGACTTCAGAGATCAAATGAAACCCACCGTCTGAAGGACTAATATACTCTGACCTTTGCTAGCCTAGTCGTCACTTTAAGGGTTTAATGTCCTGATTCTAAAAATCATCTCTTAGCACTTAGCAAGTTTTGTGAATACGTCCCTGGAGTGTGATGTTAGTAAAGACCGTTATAGATGAATCCTTGCTGAAGGATTGTTTGGTTAATACTCACCTGAGAGCTGATTTCACTCCGGACTAATAAGATGATTTTTGGATGCTAACTGAGGAAGAATGGTCTACCCCACCACTTTTTTAATGAGTCAATCACTGCTGTTATCAAGTTCATAAAGAGGAGCTTTAAAGTGCAATCCCTCTGATGGCCACTAGAGACCGCCGACACTTTCATAAGTAGAAGATCAGCTGTTAAATTCTCTTTCTAATATCGGTATTGGCCCTAAAAATCACATATCGGTCGGACTCTCATTTCTTTGTATTACATGAGCAGTTCTCTGTCACCAGCAGAGGGCGCTGTATTGATTACAACAAGCATCATCACTCTCCAGTCAGTCTGCAAAATAATCTGGGAAGATCATCTGTTATGTGCAGCCTCGAGTCGGGAACACCCCAAAGTTTATCAGAAGGAAATCAAGTTTCTAACCGGCCCGATCCTCCTGCAGGCTGAGCCGGGCTTAAGACTGTTTTTAGTCCACGTCCATCAAATAGAAAACTTTGAATCAAATCCACCAACATGTTTTGAGAAGATTGAAACACTTATGTTATACTCGTACATCTGGTGTCTGAACTTTGTTAGTCAATGATGTTAAATATGCAAAGATGCTGTTTCAGTTTGAATTCTATGACGTTAGACTTCTACAGAAAACACAGATAAATAAATCAAAATCAAGACTGGATTCTACTTCTACTCATGCAGAAAGAGGGAGAAATAAAACACAACGCAAAAACAAAAACAAATCAAACTTTATTTTTCAAACATTTGAGGGTTTGAAGGTTTCAGTCACACTTCCAGACGTCGTCTTTCGTGGTTCTCAACCTTTTTTGAGTCATCGTTTTTGTCCTTGTTTGAAACGTCCTGTTCTGTTTGGACACCAGCATTTTAAAGAATTGTTTTTACACCTGCAGTTAGCATGCATGCTAACTTTAGAGTTACCTGCATGAAGGTAACTATGAAGTATATTTACACCAGCCAATGAAAATGTTTCTTCTACTGAGTCTACAGAACAACAAGGAGATTTCAGACACTTCGCCACCACAGATCTGTCCTGAGGATTAGGAGCTGCAAACTGTTTCAAAAGACGCATCTGGTTTTAGCAGAACACAGACAGTTGGAAAGTATGAAGGTAGATATGTTGCAAAATGTGAGAGCTTGTAGAATGTACAAACTCTCACATCTCATTCTACAAACTAACATCTCATTCTACAAGCTCTCATCTCATCCTACAAGCTCTCACATCACATTCTACAAACTCACATCTCATTCTACAAGCTCTCATCTCATTCTACAAACTCTCATCACATTCTACAAACTCTCATCTCATTCTACAAGCTCTCATCACATTCTACAAGCTCTCATCTCATCCTACAAGCTCTCATCTCATCCTACAAGCTCTCATCACATTCTACAAGCTCTCATCTCATCCTACAAGCTCTCATCACATTCTACAAACTCTCATCTCATTCTACAAACTCTCACATCTCATTCTACAAACTCACATCTCATTCTACAAGCTCTCACATCACATTCTACAAACTCTCATCTCATTCTACAAGCTCTCATCTCATTCTACAAGCTCTCATCACATTCTACAAACTCTCATCTCATTCTACAAACTCTCACATCTCATTCTACAAGCTCTCATCACATTCTACAAGCTCTCATCTCATCCTACAAGCTCTCACATCACATTCTACAAACTCACATCTCATTCTACAAGCTCTCATCTCATCCTACAAGCTCTCACATCACATTCTACAAACTCACATCACATTCTACAAGCTCTCATCTCATTCTACAAACTCTCACATCTCATTCTACAACTCTCATCTCATTCTACAAACTCTCATCTCATTCTACAAACTCTCATCTCATTCTACAAGCTCTCACATCATTCTACAAGCTCTCATCTCATTCTACAAGCTCTCACATCACATTCTACAAGCTCTCATCTCATTCTACAAGCTCTCACATCACATTCTACAAGCTCTCATCTCATTCTACAAGCTCTCACATCTCATTCTACAAACTCTCATCTCATCCTACAAGCTCTCACATCACATTCTACAAGCTCTCATCTCATTCTACAAGCTCTCACATCACATTCTACAAGCTCTCATCACATTCTACAAACTCTCATCTCATTCTACAAGCTCTCACATCTCATTCTACAAACTCTCATCTCATCTACAAGCTCTCACATCACATTCTACAAGCTCTCATCTCATTCTACAAGCTCTCACATCACATTCTACAAGCTCTCATCACATTCTACAAACTCTCATCTCATTCTACAAACTCTCATCTCATTCTACAAGCTCTCACATCTCATTCTACAAGCTCTCATCACATTCTACAAGCTCTCATCACATTCTACAAGCTCTCATCACATTCTACAAGCTCTCACATCACATTCTGCAAGCTCTCATCACATTCTACAAACTCTCATCACATTCTACAAACTCTCATCACATTCTACAAACTCTCATCACATTCTACAAGCTCTCATCACATTCTACAAACTCTCATCTCATTCTACAAACTCTCATCTCATTCTACAAACTCTCATCTCATTCTACAAGCTCTCATCTCATTCTACAACTCTCATCTCATTCTACAAGCTCTCATCTCATTCTACAAACTCTCATCTCATTCTACAAGCTCTCACATCACATTTTACAAACTCTCATCACATTCTACAAGCTCTCATCTCATTCTACAAACTCTCATCACATTCTACAAGCTCTCATCTCATTCTACAAGCTCACATCACATTCTACAAGCTCTCACATCTCATTCTACAAACTCTCACATCTCATTCTACAAACTCTCTCATCTCATTCTACAAACTCTCATCACATTCTACAAGCTCTCATCTCATTCTACAAACTCTCATCACATTCTACAAGCTCTCATCTCATTCTACAACTCTCACATCACATTCTACAAACTCTCACATCACATTCTACAAACTCACATCTCATTCTACAAACTCTCATCACATTCTACAAACTCTCACATCTCATTCTACAAACTCTCATCTCATTCTACAAGCTCTCATCTCATTCTACAAACTCTCATCTCATTCTACAAGCTCTCACATCACATTCTACAAACTCTCACATCTCATTCTACAAACTCTCATCTCATTCTACAAACTCTCACATCTCATTCTACAAACTCTCATCTCATTCTACAAGCTCTCATCTCATTCTACAAACTCTCATCTCATTCTACAAGCTCTCACATCACATTCTACAAACTCTCACATCTCATTCTACAAGCTCTCATCTCATTCTACAAGCTCTCACATCACATTCTACAAGCTCTCATCTCATTCTACAAGCTCTCACATCACATTCTACAAGCTCTCATCTCATTCTACAAACTCTCACATCTCATTCTACAAACTCTCATCTCATTCTACAAACTCTCATCTCATTCTACAAACTCTCATCTCATTCTACAAGCTCTCATCTCATTCTACAAACTCTCACATCTCATTCTACAAGCTCTCATCTCATTCTACAAACTCTCATCTCATTCTACAAACTCTCATCTCATTCTACAAACTCTCATCTCATTCTACAAACTCTCATCTCATTCTACAAGCTCTCATCTCATTCTACAAACTCTCATCTCATTCTACAAGCTCTCATCTCATTCTACAAACTCACATCTCATTCTACAAACTCTCACATCACATTCTACAAACTCTCACATCTCATTCTACAAGCTCTCATCTCATTCTACAAACTCACATCTCATTCTACAAACTCTCACATCTCATTCTACAAACTCACATCTCATTCTACAAACTCTCATCTCATTCTACAAACTCACATCTCATTCTACAAACTCTCATCTCATTCTACAAGCTCTCATCTCATTCTACAAGCTCTCACATCACATTCTACAAGCTCTCATCTCATTCTACAAGCTCTCTCATCTCATCTACAAGCTCTCATCTCATTCTACAAACTCTCATCTCATTCTACAAGCTCTCATCTCATTCTACAAACTCTCACATCTCATTCTACAAACTCTCACATCTCATTCTACAAACTCTCATCTCATTCTACAAACTCTCATCTCATTCTACAAACTCTCATCTCATTCTACAAGCTCTCATCTCATTCTACAAACTCTCATCTCATTCTACAAGCTCTCATCTCATTCTACAAACTCACATCTCATTCTACAAACTCTCACATCACATTCTACAAACTCACATCTCATTCTACAAACTCTCATCTCATTCTACAAACTCACATCTCATTCTACAAACTCTCATCTCATTCTACAAACTCACATCTCATTCTACAAACTCTCACATCTCATTCTACAAACTCACATCTCATTCTACAAACTCTCACATCTCATTCTACAAACTCTCATCTCATTCTACAAGCTCTCATCTCATTCTACAAACTCACATCTCATTCTACAAACTCTCACATCTCATTCTACAAACTCACATCTCATTCTACAAACTCTCACATCTCATTCTACAAACTCACATCTCATTCTACAAACTCTCACATCTCATTCTACAAACTCTCATCTCATTCTACAAGCTCTCACATCTCATTCTACAAGCTCTCATCTCATTCTACAAGCTCTCACATCTCATTCTACAAGCTCTCATCTCATTCTACAAGCTCACATCTCATTCTACAAACTCTCACATCTCATTCTACAAGCTCTCATCTCATTCTACAAGCTCTCATCTCATTCTACAAGCTCTCATCTCATTCTACAAGCTCTCATCTCATTCTACAAGCTCACATTTTGTAACATATCTACCTTCATAGAAAGATCCTTAGCCGCAATTTCCACACATTCCGTCATAACATGCACAACGGCGCCGCTCGCCCCGACTCAAGTCAATGATTGTGTTTCCACATCACCCGCTGCAGTCCGTCTCCGAAGCGTACGCTCCGAGTCTATTTTTGATTGAGCCTGCTTCAAGTTCGCGTCAATAGAACGGATCGACCTGGACAGGAAGTCAGACCAGGAAACGTACAGAGCGTCCGATCAATTTCAAAATAAAACCCAAAATACCGACAGACTGATCGCAACCTGAACATGACGTCAAGACGGTCACCGAATGGACAACAAATCATCCTCAGGAAGACGAAGCAACACGTTGTTCTCCTGTGATGTAGTGACCCGTGTGTACAGCTGCTCATGGCTGCGTTCAAGCTCCAGACACAGATCCAGTCGGGCAGCGTGCACGCTGTCGGACGGAGTAAAACCGTGGTGCTGATGGTATGCAGGGCGCACAGACTATGTGGAAATTGCGGGTTAGTCTGATAGTCCATGGCAATTAGCGAGTTAGCTACCTTAGCATGCTACTGTAACTGTGTCGAGCACTTTAGCAGTTATTTAACGACTCATGACAGTTTGCTAATTAGCTAGTTAGCTCCTTTAATGGGACTGTGTTCTAGGTTCCAGATTTAGTAGCTACACCCTGAGTCATGCTGTCGTCCATAACTGGGAACATGAATACTGAACGTGCAGCTAACATAAAGCTAAAGGTCGCGTCTGCTGCAGGTTAAGAACCACTGATGGAGACAAATAGAAACACAGCTGTGTGTGTTTGAAGGTGTGAACACACACATGCTCCCACACACGAGGGGTTAAGGTGAAAATAAAAAGTGGGGCTGAGGGCGGGTGAGGGGGTTTCGGCACACACATACAACATCACCGCCGTGCGCCGTCGGCCTGCTTTACTCACTTTGCCCTTCACACGTGTGGCAGGGGAGGAGAGGGTAGGAGGGGGCGTGGTTTCTTTGGGCTTACGGAGCAGGCCGTTCTCCTGACCTCGGACTCCCAGTGAGGAGAAGTCCCTGGCTTCAGCGCGCTTCCTGGCACGCAGCGTATTCCACGACAGAGACTTCCTGTACGGTGCAGGAACAAGAGACATCAACCAGCCAATCAGAGAGAAGATCAGGGTCCGGGTTAGTCTGGCTGCGGGGGCAACATGGCTGACAGGTCCTGACCTCATAAGTGAGGTATGATTTATTTCATGAGATTACCCTGCATTCATTCATTCACTCACACGCACGCACGCAACGCACGCACGCACGCACGCACGCGCACGCACGCACGCACGCACGCACGCTTATCATATCTGCTTAAATTATTTACATTACATTAAATCATGTGTCCTTCCTGTGGGTCAGAACACTGCAGGGCTGCCAGGGAGACTGCTCTCCAGAGCTGGGAGAAGAGAGTCTCTGTAAGAGGTTTCAGAGGCTTGAAGCCGTCTGCTGAAATTCTTGGTTTCATATCGGGGAGCTATGCCGTGATTTACAGAACAACGGCGTTTAGCGCCCCCTGCAGACTCATCCTGGGATTACTCCAACACACGTTTACCTCATGATCTGAAACTTTGCCCACGTTTAGTTTGAACATGCAGCATCGAAACACTTTATGAGAGTTTATAAATGAGGATCAGCAGAACCCCTGGCTGCTCCTCTGGACCCGGATACATGTTGGGAAATGATTTAAACCGTTAATGTAGAGAAAGTTGTACCATGTGTGTGTTTTGATGAGTATACACTGTCTTTCTCATCGACTCTTTCACAGAAGCCTCGTTAAGAATTGACCCCGAAAAGGAGCCGTTACTCAGATTTCAAGTTTGTAGCTTCGGTGGAGTTTCAAAACCGTTGTTAGTAAAAACTGAAATCAAAACATAGGTCAAAAGAAAAGTCACCACTGAACATAGAAAACATTGAAAGAAAACCAAACGGGGACACAGTGCAGACGATCACTTCTCAACCTGCTTCTCCATCTGACTTTAGAGCCCGTGTCCACAGACTGCGTTATATATGTGCCCCGGCAGCGCCTGTTTAAAATACAAACCTAGTAGTTCAGAGTTTAGCGCCCTCAGTGGCAGCTGAGTTAAAATAGTTAAAATAGTTTAACTGTTAGAACAGCACTGTGCTCGTCACTGTCACTTCTCCCTCACGAACCAATTAGAGTCAAGAAGGGGCGGGACTTCTGATAACATGGAGGAGACGCTCGTCCGTCTCTTCTTCAGGAGGTGTAGAGCTGCTGCTGATGTCAGGACTCATTTACATCGTCTTTATGATGAATTAAAGGACACAGCTAACGGACATCACCGAGGGAAGCAGAGGTTTACTTTGGTAACCTAGCAACAGAGTGAGCGCTGCTGAGAAACGCACTGTAACGGAGGTCGTCTGTGGACACGGCCCCGGGGATGGTCATTAACTCTTCTTGGTGTTGAAGTCCTGCTGTCGCTGCACTTTGACATTAAAGAGGATAAATAACCTTCAGGATGACTTTCAGCACACAGACGCACGCAGACCGCTCAGGTTCACGTTTTGCTGTTGTAGTTTATTTACAAATATTAAAAACTACAAACCGTTAATCACCTTCATCCTAACGCAGAACAAAACAACTTCACCTTCACGTCGCTCTGCTAACTCATGCTCAAGTCCAAAAAAGGATTTATTTTACATATTTAAAATACATTTAAAATCATCGTTGTTAGACTAGCAGTTCAACGCTGCTCGCTGCCTTCAATGCGACATATTGCACAGCCTGACTTCATATTTTTCTCTCGTCTTAAATAGTGCAAAAGGGAGTTTTTTTTAAACAGGAATGTTCTAGAAAATTAACTTTGTACAGTGAACTGCTGACGAACAAAAAACAACACGAGGGAGGGAAAAAAAATCCAACGCTGTCAGTGAAACAAAAATCATAATTAACAAGGCAGAAAAAACAACAACAACAGGAAGTGAATAAACAGAAACCTCGATATTCAGATTGCCACAGACAACAAAATAAATCTTCTCCAGTGCGGAGAAAGGGGCGGAGTCCACCTGAACGCCCCAGGTGAGTTTTTTTTCTTTCCAAAAAAAGAGTGAAAAAGAAAAAAAAATACAAAAACAGAAGAACAAAGCGAGGTGTTAGGAACTGAAATAATCCGGTTTGAGCTCCACATGAGAGTTCGCTCTGCTCTCTCCAGTCGGCTACACGATTCTCTATCCAGTCTTTTCTGCTGGATTAATCCTCGGTACACACTTACATGTGAACAGTGCGTGTATGTGTGTGTGAGTGTGTGTGTTAGTTTTTCCATTTTCATGTCGTTGCCATGGCGATGGCTCAGAATTAAAACCGTCACTGCAGCAGCTTCATGGACGCTAAAGTTTTGTACCTTTTTTTTTTTTTTTTTTTTAACGTCCGAGACGAGAAAAGTCTCCTGTAAGGTCCAACAGTTTGTTCTTTAAAGGGAGGAGGAGGGAAGGGAAGGAGGATTTAGGAAAGGCAGTGAGGAGCTAGGGAAGGGAGCGGATTCAAAAAAAAAAAAAAAAGAGCTTTGTCACCTCGTCTCTCTCATCCAATCCGAGGGCTCGTTTCATCCCAACATGAAGTGCGTCTGTCTGCAGGTAAAGAAGAGCTGGGTGGGGGGTTTTGGGGGGGAGGGACTTACTTGATGTTGTGTGCATCAGACACCGCCGCTGAGAAAGACGTAGCAGAAGAAGAGTCTTTTATGGACTTGTGGGCGGGCCTAAGATGCGTCCCGGCACCAGCCCTCAGCGGCG